AACCCGTGCAGATTTAGCGTGTCAGTGTGTTTTAAGTCGATTTGAATTTTGAAGACACCTTACCAGCCAGTAATTCATGATTAAGGGTTTCTCTCACGGAAAATGTGTCTATCTTGAGGGACTATTCTCATCACGTCCTATCTTTTCGTGCGTGGCATGGTAAGGCCATGATGCCATGCATGCGCAGTGCTGCGGGAAGCTAAGAGAAAGCTAGGATTCAATATAGAGCGAATCATGGACGGGGAATCAGGAAGGAAACTCACTGTCAACCACCTCGTTCTATTGAATGGCATGCGAAAGCAACGAAGCTTCGCTGATAAACTTGAAGACTCTGAATCAGTGCAGCTTGGAGCCTGGATCCATCTACTTTCATTGATTCAAAACGGCAGAAATCACGGCAGGGATGGCGAACGGGTGATCATGGACAAGACATTGGCACGTTCTGACATTCGAATGAAAGAAGATTAAGCAGGGATCTCGAAGAGAGTGTATCAGAGAGGAACATGTGCGAATGTTTGTCATGATATGTGCACACTCTGCGCAGGTTCGATCTATTGACACATTTGTGGGGTGGTGTGCAGACGAGACTGTCATTTAGAAACTTGGATGTATTGTGCGGACAGTGTGTCTGTGCGGTCGGCCGAAAGAATATGCAGCTGGGGAGTCATTGTGAAGAAATGTTTTGTCAAAATGAGCGGCCCCATCGCTCCCGGTCAGTTGAATGAATATATGAGGCTGTGCAGTGCTACTCCAATAACATCGGCAATGCCAACGCATTCAAGTCAGTATCAGGCTCATATATAAAGCCCAACAATAGAATCCGCTATATAATCCCCTGTTTCTTTTGCGTTACCCAAAGTATCGCCCCCTTTTTTCCCTGCAGCTCGAGTCACCACAACGACGACTCTTTCTTCCCTGTAATACCACACCTAATTCTTTATACCAAAAGTAGATTATAATAGGTAAGCCCATTGTCCAGGTTTCCGCGAATTGTTTCTCGCAACAACGAGATGACGACAAAAGGGGATAACCCAATCGAGCAATGCCTTGAGAAGGAGACAAAAAGTTTTTTCGCCTCCTGTAGATGATTTGAACCACGAGGCGGTTCATGGCGGCCCTCCTCGTGTCACTTGTTTATTTCTGTCCTTATAACCAGTCCGCTTTTTATGCTACCCGTTCCCTGACATTTTCGCGTCCCAGCCTTCCGATCAATGGCCTCCCATAATCCAACTTCAGGAGCTCCGAGACGCAACTTTGCTGTGCCGCAGGTGAGTACTACCGCTCTCTCCGTCTTTATCTCTTGTTCATCGTTTCCAAGAACCCACCACCCGCGCCGTCCAAGACCGATCCATATCATGGCCATGAAACCCTCGCAAAGCTGGCTGCCCGTTTCATCACTCATCTCTTCGCATGCCCCGATTATCCTCAGTCGTCAAGTCAGTCGCAGGCTAAGCTACCGTACTTCATCGCCTATGCCCTGCATCGGACAAAATTGCATTCTGCCGTCACCTTTGCCGCCCTTGTTCTTCTCCAGCGATTAAAGGCTCGATTTCCATCTGCACGAGGATCTTCTGGTCATCGCCTTTTCATATCGGCATACATGATCTCGTCAAAAGTGATGTGCGACGATACGTACTCAAATAAGTCGTGGTGCATCGTTGCTCAGGGCATGTTCACTTTGAGGGAGGTCAATCAGATGGAGAGAGAGATGTGCACATATTTAGACTGGGAGCTTACTGTGGACAATCCAATATTGTCCAACTTCGAAAATGCCGTCAAGAACGACTTCCGAGAGGATAAGGACAGACGGTCTTATCCCAACTATCCCACCACTTTCGTGTCGAAACGGGCAGCCAAAGCCGAGGCATCAAAGTCGAATACACCGTTCGACCCAAATTCGAATACAACAAGTCCAGTGCCGGGATTTGCTGGTCAAAATTCACCTACGCCAGGAACCCCTGCAAAAGCCTCCTGGGATCCCAACACCCCCGATACCCCATCGCCAACCTTTACGAACGCCACATCACCCGCATCTTCCGGTTCCCCAGCGACCCCGGTTGGAGGGCCAGAGACCAATCCCAAAATCCGGGGTGTGGACACGTCACCCAACTTCGGGCCAGTGGAAGGGGGTGGCGGCCAGATATCAGCCCCACACCCACTAAAACCGAAGATGTTTGCGTTCGCGGTACCTTCTGGTTGGTGATACACATGATGGTCCAACTCATCGTCACTCCTTTATTGTTTTCTTTTTTATCTTGTCTCAAGTCAACTCACATCTCTCGCTTGCATAACGTTTTCAATTGTACTCATATCTATACCCCCGCAATTTTCTTGCCTCTCATCACCTTATATTTTTTTGCATACTCACCAAGCCTCTTCTGTACTTTGCACTGCATTGGTTGTTTCACTAGCATTATCCTTATTAACGGGCTCACGCATAGTTGCATTGATCAACGTACATATAGGTTTACCAACGACTGTAAAGTAATAATAAACAAGAAACGAATAAAAAGAATTGACAATCAAACACTACTGACCCGAGATGAGTTCACATCGGCATTTGGAATTCTTTGCAGACTTTGGTGAATTGACATACCCTTGTCAAGGACATCAGGGACGCCTCCGGAGCCCTTGAACGTGTTGACCACGCACCGTTATGTACTTGTCACGATGGCATTATCAGCGCCAACGAGATGAGAACATTCTAATCAGAACAATCTCTGAACACGTTTTTCTACTTTGATCCCACCGACGACTGATGTCAGCATGTTATGCCGAAAGATACCCGCTTGCGAGGTCGAATTTGGGAGGTGAGGCCCAGTTTCTCAAAGCTTCCCCATGGTAAGTTTCCTCTCATTTTCCCCATGTATTTTTCTTTTTCCATGATCTAGAAGACAGATATTCTGAACGAACTTCTATTCCTATTCTTTTACAACGTCATTTGATAACTGAAGGGCAGCAGTCTACACGCATGGGACTATAGATGCTCAGGAAGCTGAAGTTTATTCCGCTATCTCTCACCTTCGGCTGTCGGCCCTGTGTACACAGTATTTCAAGATAATTAGGAAATGGCTCGGGACCCACGACAAGCTCAGAAGCCATCATCTGACTAGTAATCATCACGATGGCCATTTACAACGCCTACGCGACGCACCCACTTATTTCATAGCTTCCTTGACAATTGCAACCATGTCGAATTTGACTTCAGCGTCAACGTTATTGTAATAGGAGTGACCTGACGGTTTGCTTGTGGATACTTTGACTTGCATCGTTTGGCTTTACTAATTGATCTCGAGGTGGCGTTTCTCAGGCGCAGGACCCACTGTAACCAGCTGCAACATCCCAGGCGTAATTTCGTTCTTCCATCATTCACCATTCAGCTTGCCAAAGAGTACGTGTAATTGCTCATGGCTGAAGCCTTCTGGACACTAGTACAACTGGACGTCTTCCATAAGTACACGTTCCGATAATCTTTTTCTTGTACGCGTTCGGACTTGTTGACCGAATTTCAAAGGACCGAGGTATAGCGAGGCACTGTGGAGTCTGTAAAAACCTCATTGGCGAAGATCTAGTTGAAGAGTTAATTGAGAAGTCGTCCGATTTCTATTTTGGACTGCAGCGAGAGAATAAAGTGGGTCATGTGTCGAACTTGAGGGCTTGAAAGTTCGAAATTTGGAGTTCTCAGGGAAATTGGCTTGTGTACTGCGCCTGAGCATGTGGTCGACTTTCGAGTGGCAGTCATGTTGACAATCTTTAGGTGGAAGAAAGACGAAGTAGACAGCTGTCTCCGTATGCACACAAATCCACATGAATTATCCTAATTTTGCTGGTTTTTGACTCAGGCGGGGATTTGCTCGTTAGATATAGGTACTGTGGTGTTTGTGGGGTAATTGAATGCTGATTTGAGTTATCTTATCAATACCGAACACCCCTTCATTGTCCTATGGCAACAACCCCGAGGCATGATACTTGTACTTTGCCGACGATGACGAAAGGTCAATTAAAGTTTGAATAGAAACTTGTAGATCGTTGACTCAGATCACAATCGAATAGATCGATCACCGATTGGGCGCCTAAATAAACGGACAACAGATGAACAAGTTAAAATTGGCTCGGCGCTGACGGATGTACGAGCCACTTGGTTGGTCAATAACAATGAACCCGTGCACAGTAGCATTGTTCAGCTAAATATAAAAAGTTCAACGAACTTGACTCCTACAGTGGAGACTTGATGATTCAATATGAGCATCACTGCAGAATGGATAGCGATTACTATAATTTTTGAACGGATTGCTTCCAAGCCCTGGGGCTGACTCGGACGGGGAAGTATAGGAGGCTGTTATTTCCGCCCCTCGTGCTGGCTCGGGGATTGATTAATTGATTTCTCACACTTAGGAGTATCATAGCTTTTCGAGTCAACTCTGTGTATATACTCGTGGGAACCTGCGCCACACATCCACAAAAAAGGGATTTGAGAGAAAATATCAACATGGGGTTTGAGGAGATCCGGTGAGCTTGCAGTGAATTGAATAGTCGACCAACTGCTCTACAAAGGAGGAGAGTTGACATTGTCCTTCTGAAAGATCGCTCTTATTTCGGAAATTCCGTCAAGTTTTCGCCAGGGTACTGGTAGTGGCATCCTCTTATTATAGGCTGTGATTATTTTTCGATGGAAGGGAAAGGAGGCAATGTCAAGATCATATGTGAGATACAAACTTGGCGGCAAACTACTTTCATGCTTTGTTATTCAAGTCTCAAGGGCGATGTTATTACTATTAGGAATCGGATAGATCTGAAAAGTATGTAGCAAATGTGAGTCAGTTTTCGTCCAAAGGTGACATGGCATATTCAAACGAGGAAAATTAGTTATAATTATGAGCTTCTGTTTCCATGCATTTATGCGCACAGCTACTTGTATTGAGAAGAATTGTTGTCAGCACAAAAAGTCTCCGGATATTTGTCCCATATTCAAATCAAAAGAGTTGCAGGGAACCACACAATGCATTAAGAGAGAATCGAACTCCCGGCGGGTCGAGACAAATCTCTATGAATGGCAACGACCCAGGTTACCACTACCCCATTAATGCTTGCGAGCAGAACCGGCGATTGCCAGTTCAGGAAGGCCAGTCGGGCTGAGTCAGCCAAGTAGCATGTGCATGTTTGTCTAAGGCTTGTGGGACGGAGCTTGAATTAGTAACGAACGTCGTCGTCGTCGAATACAGTACATCTCTCTTTTAGACGCCCACACCATGGCTTTCGGTCTCACCATTGGCACAGAGCGTGCCACCGCTTTTCAGGTACTGCTGGTTCCTTTTTTCTCAAGCTTCCATTGCTGATGCGTTCTTAATAGCAAGCTATCCAAGATGAACTGACAAAACGAGGGTACAACCCCGACACTGGTACGCTTTTTCATCATCGTCTAAACGCATTCTTACATTCCTATAGATATGGTTATGGCCGAGTACATTACTATTATGGTTATTAACAACAAGACATCGGGTATGCTCAGCTTCAATTGCTCTGTTGCGGTTTTATTAACACTTACCTGCAGCTCAGATTACCAGCGAACTCGAAGACTGTACGTCATTCCAAATTGCCGCAAGTTATTTCATGCTGACTTCTATCTTACCCATTCAGTAATTGGCTCTGACTTCAGTGCGTCTCCTCGTCTATTTCGTATCGTTTCGTTACTAACGTCATTGCAGATCCTAGTTTCACTGAATGGCTGTTTGAGGAGGCAGCGAAGGGCGACTCTGGGCTTGATACTTCCCCTCAATCTCCTCCAACTAAACCTGAAACAACCTCTGGCATTGCTCCACCACAAGAAACCCCTCAAGCCACAAGTGAACCGTCACGAGCACCAAATGTGGCACGCAGCGGCGGTGTATACCAACAGGCTATTTCCCAGGCTCTTCCATCCAGTTCGAGCACGGCGCAAAAAAGATCGTCATCAGCACGATCGCCGTCTCCTACTCATCCCAATAAATCGAGACGGACTGACCTTCCAACAGGCCCTCGTGCTATGCATCGTGATGGCACCACAACGCACAGCAACACGCATCATAACCCTAGGAGTTTGTTGGATCGCGTCGGGGGGCCTGCAGGTCGTGGACCCAAGAATTTCCAGAGAGATGACATTCAAGCAAGGATTGATAACATTGTGAGCAATTCACCGGAACCCAACATGATGATGCCGCCAGGTTTCCCTGGTATGGGAATGGATATAAACGCGATGGCTGCCAATATGGCCAATCCCCTCATGTTGCAGGAAATGATGATGAACCAAATGGCCCTTATGGCGCAGATGGCTTCTTCAATGGGTATCATAAACCCTGCCACGGGACAATTCAATGCCCCAGGGTTCCCTATGCAGGGTATCATGCCAGCAGACTTGGCTATGCTGCAGAATAACATGAATAATGCCTTCCCACAGCAAGCTGCTGTCAACGGCCAAATGAATGGGGCAGGACGAGGTCGGGGTATAGGTAGGGGCAGAGGAACGGGCAGGAGAGGAGGTTCCCTTGTGGGAGGTCCTGATCGTTCGACGATCGCAATTAAGCCTGCAGATGCTCCTGCAAATGAGACAACTACTCCCCAACCATCTACACCAATTGTGGCCCCGACACCAATCACCCCTGCACCCTCTTCCGCCCCATCGGCCCCTGCTCGGGTTGCAGCCCCTGCTGCACAAGCTCAGCCTATGTATGCTGTGCCGGAGCGACCGCAATCGCCCACGCTTTGCAAATTCGGTCTCAAGTGCACGAACGCCCATTGCAGGTACTCTCATCCCTCGCCAGTTGCTACTCCTGAGAGTGGAGTCGTCCTCAGCAACGAAGCTTGTGAGAAGGGTAAAGATTGCAAGGATAAAGATTGCATAAAGGCCCATGTTAGTCCTGCAGCTCTGAAGCCTCAAGGTATTTCCATACCTGTAACTTTTTCCATGTCCTCCTTGCTGATATATCTTAATATTTAGCACAACAAGCCGTCCCTCAAGTGTCAGTCCCACCTCCCCAAATCCATCATACACCTGTTCCCTGTCGCTTCGGGGCTGCATGCACGCGCCCAGGATGCACTTTCAGCCACCCTACCCGTCAAACCCAATACGCAACGCCGTGTAAGTTCGGAGCTGCCTGTACGCGAGTTCAATGTGCCTTCCAACACCCCGAAGGGCGCGTGCTCCCTTCTACTTTCCATCGTGGGCTATCGACGTCTGGCCCAATGGTTAGTGTTCCAACACCAGAGGCTGGATCCATGGGTGGCAGTCAAAACAGGAGCATGACGTTCAACAAACCAGGCTTGTCGGCGAAGGAAAAGCTCGAGAAACAGATGAAGGAAATTCAGGAGAAGAAGAATGAAGCTGAGCAAGCTGTCAAGGATGCAGAGGCAGCTGCTGCCAAGAAGGCAGATTCAAGCCCTGTCTCGATTGCTGCGTAAACACCGCTAAACTCAATACCGCGAGGACGAAGCTTCGCAAAATAAGTGTTTGCGCCTCTTTGTCTGAGCCTTGGATTATTGGCCGTCTCCAAAGTTGAGACCCGCAAACTTGGGCCTTTCCCATCGACTTATTTCTTTGTACACCCTTTTTTCCCTCTGAACTCGTATTATACGTATTGTTGTCTGATTCTCTATTTACATCCGCTACATCTTTTTCTTTTTCTTCTCTCCGTATTTAGCAATATTCTTTTCCTGCTGTAGCTTATCAAACTTACATAGCGAGGTCGTCATGCCCACTAAAATGGATGACCGGCCGAGGAGGAGCAATAAAACTACCTACTTTGCTTGGTGCTCATGCCAGAAAATTGGGCATGAGCATCACGTATCTTCCTCCTCTACTTCTGGGTGTGACCTCGTTGAAAGGAAATGTAAGGGTGCAAAGGATGTACAAAAGAGCATTTATTTAGATTACAAGCGAGAAATATTGATACAGTACCTAGCCTGCTAAATTAAGGGGTATGGGGGCTCTAGGCCAATATATACAAAGTTGTGGAAAGCAGGTAATGATACATACCCGAAAAAAAAAAAGAAACAAATGAGTGTGAGTAGTAAGATGATCCACAGGACATCACATATGGATATCAATTGCTATCGAGTGTCCGCACGATTTCCTCTCCACGTTTATCAACGTAGAGTCTGACCATATCACCGTTATTCATATCTTTGAACTGAAATGAGAAGCAATTTGTAAACACTCAGAGTACAAAGAAATAAGGTTAGAAGAACATACCGTCAGTTCACGCGTCCTATGCAAGCTCTCGATTTCGTCGATCCTGTCCCTTACATTATCGAGGAGATCGTCAAACCCATCTTCTCCGCACACTTCTTGCGCAGCATGCAGAATGAGGTTGGAGTCTGGTCGTACGTTATGCTGGATCTGCAAGTAGAAATGTGGATAAGAAGGATGACATTGTTATGTGGATAGTGCTCACGTCGATAGAGATGATATTTAAGCGGTCAAGTTCTGAAAAGCCGATCTGAACATCATATTCAAAGCAAACTAAAAGAGAGCCGACCTTCCATAAAGTCTGCACGCGTCATAATCTGCCGGCATTTCCACTGTATGGCAGGAAGGTGAGGCACCATTCTGAAATGATAATGTGACGTTGCACACACATATGGTATTGTGGGCAAGGGTAAGTCATCAACTGAGCCACCTGTTTTCTCCCGAGCTGCCTCCTGCTCTTCTCTTTGCTTCACGAACTCGCGGAGAAGGAGCCAAGAACATGAACTCCATTTTTGCTGGTTTTCATGGTCAACATTTTTGGGATTTGTGGTAGATCTATTGTTTGCCGAGACCTACCTCGTCCATGACATCGTCGTCACAATCAGGAATGAGGCCTGTAAGTCTAATTTTGAGCATGGAAACAAGATACAAAAGAGATTTGCGAACCTATTTGGCTAAGAAGCCAAGCTTTCTCAACTTCCAGTAAATGTTTTGCCATGCCTACCATATCCTTGGCCTTTGACACCTAGAAGCAACATCATTAATGGGCTCCGGAGAGCTGAACGCCAACCTACTTTGTTCAAGTAAGCTAAACGGCCACCAACATACGACACAGCCGAGCTCAAGTCTTCAGGGTCTGCAGTCGAGCGACCTGCATTGTACCGCATGCGAGAGGCAGCTTGGAGAGCTTCTTGATTGTTGAGGTCATATACCGATATAACCTGTAGCGTACTGTGATTGAGCGACTAATATGGGTGGAGGTCGCACAGAGTAACATACGTGCATTCGACTGCTATTTTTCCCTAAAAGCGCCGTTAGCATTCTGTACTGGCATCCAAAGGCAAAAGGATTGACTTACTCATTACATGAAAGGGCCAGAAATCGTCCCTATACTCGACAGCGTTGTCAATTACACTTGCACCATTGAAGAATTAAACTGACGATGTGAACACCATGGTCAATATGCCTTTGAAGTTATCAGTAATTTTGCCATGTGAGAATGAAATGCAGGGCCTACCGCTGGCAGCCCATGCTTCTGCTTTCTGTTGGAGTTGAAGAAGCATATTTCTACCTTCGTCGTCATTTTCAAAGAAGTGGACGTTGTTGATGACGAGCACGAAAGGCTTTCCTCGTTTAGGTGCACATCGAAGGGCGACCTTCTCAAGTTTATTCATGGCTATAGGAGTATTTTATTGATATTTCAGGGGCGGAGAACAGAGAGTATAACGTGCCTCGCTCAATATCCAGCGCTGCTCCACCTGTTGTGCGAAGGTGGTCAGAAATCGGAGGTTTGAAACAGATTATGCAGAAGAAGCACCCTCTCTGGGGTCTCGCCTCTGGAACAAGCCCGTCTGTGTATCTTCATTATATTCAAAGTTAAGAGCCTTTCCAAGTCGAAGTCTGAAAACCTCCAAATCTGGATGGGCATCACACATCGACACACCCTCGGCGTTGCAAGAAGCCATAGAATCGAATATCATCGTTCCTTTACCAGATCCCTTTAAGTGATAATACACATTAGCCCAAGAATCCAATGCAAAGAAATAACGCATACCTTGGGACCAATAAGCATGAAGTAGTGGCCGGCCTCGTCACCGTGGATGATATGGTCGATGATTTCTTGCTCCTTGCGACGTAGATCTTCCG